GCCTCCCGAGTGCTGGGATTAAAGGCGTGCGCCACCACCGCCCGGCTAAATAGTATTTTTGAAAAGTGAAAAATTTGAATTTTGGATGCCTCGCTGTGATTATGAAAAGCACACTTTAAGGGAAGTAGAAAACTACTGTATGGGAAGGTGGCCTTTAAAAGAACAGCCACTCTTAGGACAAAAGAGTCCTACTAAAGAATAAAGCCCCAGGAAGATGTGACAGCACTGAGCTGGTCTCTCATGGCTGAGGGAAGGCTGAAGCATGTGCATTGATAATGACAGGGTTGAAAGAGGAAACGGACAAATCCTCACTCAGCATTCCTCATAGCAGAGGGGAAACTAGCAAGGTCCCTGGAGATTTACATAGAGCTGACAGGCTTCCTCTAATGAGCGGTTAGCCAGCGCTGCGGTGAGCTACCATACAAGACATTCTCCTCAGACACCTCTGGGCTTTTATGAAATTAGGCTTCGCACCACCCAGTAGAACCAGTTTCAACTAGTTTCAGAATATCTGTACCAGACAGGCAACATCTCAGGCTGTGGCATAATTAAATAAAATCAGAAACCAAAAAAATGATGACTAAAATAGTCTTCTAATAAACCTTGGGTCAAATAGGAAATCATAATGGGAATTAGGAAAAAATAGAATTGCCAAGTTCATCGAAATATCTCATGTTACAGATACTGGATTGTCGGGGTGGGGAGATGACTCTGTGGGTAAGGATGCTTGATGCTCAGGCATGAAGTTGTAAGTTTGAATCCCAAGCATCCGTATAAATCACCTGTGTGTACAGCTGAAATTGCTGTTTGGAGGGCATCCTGGGTCCGCCAATACTGACATCTCTGAAAAGAGGAAGTGGTAGTAGACAAGGAAGTGTGGAGATTAAATGTCACCACGTTTGGAGTTGAGAAGAGGAGAGACATGGTGAGATTCATGTTGGCTGAGGGGAGGCGTGTCTCCAGTGCCATCTGGAGAGAGAGGCGCTGGGCTGCTGAGGTGGGAGAGCGGAAGGGCTGGAGCCTGCCCCTGGCAGCCTCTCTTGCCTCCATGAAGTCATGTTCTCACGAGAGCTCAGTGTTCGTCAAAGGAGGACAGCCAAACTCTGGCCCTCGTGTCTGAGGCAGTGTGCTGCCCAAGAAGGTGGTGGAGAGCCTGCCCTTTAAAAACCATCCGAATCTGATCCTCTCTCCCACCTAGAACATTCTGAGCCTCAGTGTCAAAAAAATATTTCTTGCCTCTAAATTTGACTTCCATTCGTTCCTAGATCATCACCTAGATTTAATATGAGAGTTAATACCTTTTATTTTGTGATCTTATTTCCATTTATGTACTATTAATTAACTTATGCTAAGAATTACAAAGTTGTTTGAACATATCTAATAGTAAGGAGTTTAGATTGCAACAGATGAGCGTATTGTGTGTGTGTCCACGCACGTGCATGCATGTACACAGCCAAATGAGAATGTCCAGTGTCCTATTCTCTGTCCTACTTACTGCCTTGAGACAAGGACTCTCCCTGATCCTGGGTCTCTTTTATGTCTGTGTCAGGGGCCCAAACTTGGGTTTCCATGGCCACCACCTTAGCTCCAGGTGGAATTATCTTAAACATGTTTTCAGGGGCTAGGGAGATAGCTTCATTGCTGAAGTGCTGCTGTTTAGGCTTGATGGCCTGAGTTCAAGTCTAATGCCTGTAAAGAATTGGGCATGGTGCATGCATTTATAATCCCAACAGCAGCGTGGAAGAAACTGGCGTTTACTGGATGGCCAGACTCGCTGAGTCTGTGAGCCCAAGGCCAAAAAGGGTAGAAGGTGTTAGAGGGAAGGCATCTGAGGATAACCCCTGACTCCACATACAGGTGCACAGGCATGCAATACATATACACATATACACATGTATACACACACACACACACACACACGTGCACGCACACATCCTGGGGAAAGCATGCTTGGGAAAGGTACAGAATCTGAGCAGCTCTGACTAGACTCAGGAACCAAGTGCCTGTGTCACTCCCAGCCTGAGGGAATGATGGAACCTGATGGCTGAATGCCAAGTACAGTGTAACCTCACACCTGAGGCTACTGCATGTACTAGGGCATGCTAGCAGACATGTCTAACGTTAAACATCACCATACGATGCCATCTAGAAAAGAAATTTAACCATGTAGTCCAGTGACATTTTTTTTTCCAGTGACATTTTTTAAAAAAAAATCACACACAAACACACACACACACACACACACACACCTCATGTTTTAAGTAACTCTACAGTTTTGGGTTAGGTTGCATTCACTGCACGTGGGCCACATGAAGCCTGCAGGCTGCAAGTTGAATATGCTTGATACCGGCTTCACCCCTGAGGGAAAGAAGCCAGACCCCAAAAGACTATTGCAGAATCTGTCAATGTCAAACTCCAGGACAGATTAATCAAGACTAACAGAAATCAGATCCCTGACCCTGAGAGGACCGGGAGGGGGAGAATATTGACTGCGAAGGGGCAGAGGTTTTTAGGGGGAAGTAGATCTTTGTAGGTGGATACCTTTTTCAGAGCTCAGGTCTGTACCCTTTAAAAGGATGCGCGGGAATTCACGGCTTAGAGCGCGGACTAAGAAATGTATAAGCTGGGCATGGTGGCAATGGATTTAGTCTCAGTACTCACTGGAGGCAGAGGCAGGTAGATCTCTGTATCTGAGGCCAGCCTGATCTACACAGGGAGTTCCAAGTCAGCCAGGCTATATAATAAGACCCTGTCTTTATTTTATTTTATTTTATTTTATTTTATTTTTCGAGACAGGGTTTCTCTGTGGTTTTGGAGCCTGTCCTGGAACTAGCTCTTGTAGACCAGGCTGGTCTCGAACTCACAGAGATCCACCTGCCTCTGCCTCCCCAGTGCTGGGATTAAAGGCGTGCGCCACCACCACCCGGCTGAGACCCTGTCTTTAAAGGGGAGTAGGGTGTAGCTAGAGAGCAGGGAAGATGGGAAGATGGTTTAGTTGGCAAAGTGCCAACCTTGTAAAGATTAGGGCCTAAGTTTGATTCTCCAGTACCACCAAAAAAAAAAAAAAAAAAAAAAAAAAAAAAAAGCCAAGTGCAGTTGGCAAAGAGACAAGCAAATCCATGAAGCTCATGGGCCAGGTTACTTGGTGAAGCTCTAGACCAATGAGAGACCCTGTCTCAAACAAAAAGCCAAGCAATGATACATGTGGGTCCCAGATGTAACACACACACACACACACACACACACACACACACACGTGAGCGAGAGAGACAAGAGAGTCAGAAAGAGGAGAGAGAGAAGAAAATGCTGCAAACTTTCTGCCAACTTCTCTTTCTTCTTGTTCTAAGCTGCCTTGCTCACACATACCCTCCCATGTCTGTAGTCTCAATAGTTCTCAAGGCTTCTTTTGTTTTCTTCTTTTTCCCCTCTAGCTATGCGAACTTAAGAAACAATGCTAAATGTAAGAGCATCTGCTGTAAGCCACTGGGCTACACAAGAACAAACAGAACCTCCAGTAGACATGTATTCATCTGTTTCTTCTTGCTGGCTACCCCACACAGAAGGCTGCTTCTCACTCTGACTCAGATGGCATGCTCACGCTTACTTAAACTGAGAATGTTCTGATGGCCTGTTGGGCCTTTTGGTGGTTTTGTTTTAACTTGTATGACATTTTCTCCTCATTGTTCAGGTTTGGCTTTGTTCCTTGTTTACCTTTTCTTTTTTCATCTTTGTGTGTATGTGTGCGTATAGGAGTGGGTGTGCATTAGTATGTGTATACGTGTGATATATTATGTGTATGTATTTCTATATTCATGTTTATGTGTATATGAATGTGTGTATGCACGAGTATATGTATGTGAGAGATACATGTGTGTATGTGTGTTGTTTGTATATGTTCATGTTTGTATTTATATGGTAGTATTTTGTGTGTGTGTGCACAGTGATTGTTCATGTTTATGGATTTGTGTGCTCATGTTTGGGGGTAGGGTATGTATGTATCACAGTAAGCATTAGGAAGTCAGGGGACAACCTTGGGTTTCAGTCCTCAATTTCTACCTCTTATTCACTGCTGCCTACACCAAGCTAGCTAGTCTTTGAGCTTCTAGATATTCTCCTGCCTCTGCCACCCACCTTGTCATAGGCGTGCTGGGTTTACAGGTTTGAGCTATTTTGCCTGGCTTTTATATTGGTCCCAGAGATCTGAACTAGGGGGTTGTCAGACTTGCATGGCAGGCTCTGCTCACTGAGCCATCTCCTCAGCCCTGCATGCTTGTTTTCTGTGTTAATGCAAAGTAGCGTTTTATGCTTCCCTTCCTTCCCGGGGCTATTCGGGAAATGATGAAGGCTACTTCCTTCAGATAAAGGCATGCATGATGGTGTAAGTATGTGTGCTGAGGTCCTGGAGACTTTTCTCTGATTCTTCTCCTTTGTCCTTTTAGACTCCAGAGTCGGATGCACCCCCTCCAGGGGAAAGTGAGAGTGAAGATAATCAATTCCACCCACCCCCTGCAGACTCAGAGGAACAGGAATGGCGCCAGGAAGTAGACCCTGAGGATTTTGAGACACTGTCCCACAAGAGTGAAAGTCGATCAGACACAAAAACAGACCCCTTTGAGAGCGCTTCTGATGCGGAGTCCCTGCCTGGTGACCTCACAGGTGGATTCTGCAGCTCTCCACGTGGCCTCTCTGCAGATAGAGAAACAGGCTGGGGGTGCCCCGATGGCTCAGTGGGTAGATTTCCTCAAGGACAGCATTTGGCTTGTGTTGAAGGGCTCCAGACAGAGGAAGACCTGGATTTGCTCTCAGGCTTAAAGGAAGCTTCTCACCAAAGTAGACTGCACTCGCCAGCGGCTGTGGCAGCTGGAAAGCGGAATGAAGAAAGTCTCTGTGACTGTGTGACCAGCTTGGTGGGGAAGTCAGTGCCAGTGGCAGAGTCCTTCTTACAGAGTGCCACCACCAACAGCAGCGGTCCCCGGCTGCAAAAGGCCAGGTCTAGGGGCTGTCTGGATGTCCCCATGGTCTGGCCCTGCTTTCTGGAACACTGTAAACTCGGTCAGAGCTGGCCACACATCCACAGCCGGGCTGGGGCAGCAGAGCAGCACCCTCATATAGGCCTGCAGGACAATGAATTCCCTCTGTGGATCAGGACAAAGAAGGGGCCTGCCCCCAGGCCCACAGTGGGCACAGATGTACTCTGGGCTCATTCCTGCTTGAATGTTGCCTGCCAGCCACAACTGGGCACACTTTGTCTCGTAGACACCAAGTGTCATAATAGTGTCCCAGAAAATCTTGGTGCCGATGGCAAGACACCCCAAAGATACCTCTGCCAGCGCGAGAAGACTCTGGCTAGGGCTCATTCTATAGCAGCATTTCCTTTGGCTTGCCTTAAGGAGCCTTTGAAGTGGAAATGTGTAACATTTGAGCCCTACCTAAGGGAAGGAACAGAACTAGAACCCAGTCACCCTATCATTCCTAACACCCTCTCCCCTGGGCCCACCCAGTTGTCTTATTCACCTTCCACTGCTCCAAGCAGGGCTCCTCCTTCGCAGGGTGAGCACGAGCTGAGTGACTGTAGCTTTAAAAGGGCATCTCAAGACACACCCTGTGTAGGTCTCCCACTGGAAAACCAGGTAGAACAGGCTTCTAGGTCATGCCCAGACCCTTCCCACCTTACTTCAGAACTGCTGAAGCTTGGCAGCCAAGAGGAAGTGCCTGGACCAGCTGAATGCAAGCCAGGACACAGCCCAGAAAGCAGCCTTGTGGAGCCTGAAGGTGTGCACCCTGGTGATGCTATCGGTAAACAAAGGTGCCTGCAAAACATCCTTGCCAAGACAGGAAACCAGACCAAGACCTACTCGTCAAAGTGTGTTCTCAATGAGGAGAGAAAGCCGCCTGATAGGGCCTTCCCCTTCCCACATTGCTGCAGCCACGGTGAGATAGCTGTGTGGAACAAAAGGCTCGTGGTTTCCCCAGAAGTGAATGATAGCACCTACACCCCAAAGAGCACCCTGCGATCAAGTGTAGTTGATGCTTCAGATGCGGCAGAAGAGGCAGCGGTTCTAGACCCCCAATGCAGGGGAAATGCGTTGCAGAGTCTTTTGGATTTCCCAACAGTCGAAAGAACTTACTGCCACCTTGGGGATGAGTGTGCGCAGGGAACCAGGGATGGCAGGGAGCCTTTCACTTCTGGCCAGCACCAGGTGCCCAAAGTACATGGGGCCTGGAAGCACAGCTGCAAACTCATCATGATAGCAGTCAAGCAAGGACACAAACAGACTTCCACAAGGAAGGCCCACTGTCGTCTAGAATCACAGTTCCGTGATTTCCCGGAGGAAAGACCTCAGTCTCCACAAGGTACAGGCACCACAGCTTATGAGCCTACATACAGCAGTGAGCATGAACTGCAAGGATGCCCGGCAGCAGGGCCGGATGATGGCGCTCCTCAGCTGCTGGCCCAAGGCATAGAGTTTGTGAGAGCTCTGGTCCCCAGGGCTGCTTCAGATGATGACACCCTGAGCTCAGAAGATGCTCTGGAGGAGAAGCAGCTTGGGGAAACCTCGTGCCTGGAGTCTGAGTGTGGTGTACACTCTGGCTTGGGCATCCATCCCGAGGGGAGCCAGGAGTCACCCAGCCCAGAACTCAGACAAGGAGAGCTTACTACAGACGTTGCGGAGCATGCAGAAGTCTCCAGTGCATGGGCTGGTGAAATAAAGGTCCCCCATTCAGGAGTCCTGGCTCCCGCCCAAGTCACAACGCAGCAGTTCCAGGGACTTTGCAGCCAGCTTCAGCGGGATGCACATGAGTCAGAGCAGCACCCTGCCTTTCTCCAGATGACCCCTTTAAGGACTGAAGGGTCCTGGTCTGGGGAGAGCCCCAAAGGGGACATACTCTGCAGCCAGGTCTTGACCTCAGAGGGCCTGAACCTGGCTTGCCCCAGCCCCGAGGAAGGTGTGCCCCAGAGTCCATGGTTTGCAGCCTGCCAGGTGGAGCCGCCTATGCATCACCACGTGCACCAGAGCAGGTCTCTGGAGACCCATTCTGTTGGTGCACAGCAAGAGATTCAAGAGGGGCCACTAGGGGACCTCGGTGGCGAAGGACCTTCCTCAGAAAACGGCAACATCAAGAGACTAAAAACAGAAAGCAAGATCAGGGCAAGGCTGGCCTTAGCCCATAAGACGTTTACCAATTTTTTTGAGGCCAAAGCCACAGAGAAAACAAATGCTGGCTCTGTCAAAGGCGAGAAAGAGAAGCGCAGACGAGGCCAGAGTTCCTGGCGCACATTTCTGAGAAGCAAGGATGTGGAAGGATCCAAACGGCCCTCTTTAGGGAGTGGTGTTCCAGGACCAGACTTTCCGGAACTCCTCCGCTCTTCCCCACCAGCAACCAGAGGCAACCGTGAAGAGTGGACAGTTAGCACGGACAGCCGCGTGTGTGTGGAGTCCTGGACACCCTTACAGTCTCCTGCAACTCCGCCTTCCAGCTGTCTGGCTTCTCCGGAATACCGGAGGAAAAGTGAACCAACCATAAAACGCACTGCTACCCAGGAAAGCAGGAGGTACCTCTCTTCTGGGATCTTCCCAGAGCCGCCCTGGCTGACTTCCCCCACCAGTCCTCGAGCCCAGCACACTGGCATTGGTGGTACACTCCCCTGCAGCTCTGCCTGCCATTTGGCCTATGAAAACCAAGGCATGCCCTGCAGACCCACAAGCCCCAAGCCCACGAGTCCCATGCCTGGGGCTCAGAGAGTGGATCTCTGCCTTGGAGGCCGGACTAGTGCAGCCTCCATGGTCTCTCTTAGAAGCTACAGGAACGCTAACACATGTTCAGAGGACTCGGACCGGCCCAAGGGCAAGGCCAGGGCAAGCCTCTTACTTTCCCTGCAAACACTCCACCAGAACGGCCAGAAGGAAGACAGCATAAGTGTGTGCCAGTGTCACCACGGCCTGGGCACAGCACCCTTCCTCAGGGACCTTCCTGGGAGCGAGGTAAGTGAACTGTTGATGGCAACAACTCTTTCTTTACCTCTTAAGGCAAGTGGAGGAATGTTCCTATGGATTAGTGTTGTCATGGTTTTAAAATGTATGTATTTATTTAGTGCATATGTATCTCTGTGTGTCTGTCTGTGTGTATGTCTCTCTCTGTGTGTATGTTTATGTGTGGGTCTGTGTATGTCTCTAGTTATGTGTGTGTCTGTGTGGAGCAGGGCATGCTTCATATCAAAGGACCACCAGCTCTCTCCTTCCACAATGTTCAGGGATGGAATTCAGGGGGTCAGTTGTGGCTGCATGTGCCTCAAGACACTGAGCCATCTCCTCTGCCCTTTAGACTTATTGTATTGACACAGGGTCTCATGTAGCTCAGGCTGGCCATGGTCTTGCTGTGTTGCCAACAATAGTTTTGAGCTCCTGACTCTCCTACCCTCACTTTCCAAGTGTTAAACTTACAGGCCTCAACCACCATGCCCGGTTTTACAGGGTGCTGAGCATGATCCCAAGGCTTCATGAATGGTAGACAAGCACTCTACCAACTAAGCTACATCCTTAAACACCCCTTGTATTAGATTTAAAGTAAAACTGAAAAATATTCAAGTATGAAAAGACAGGGTTAGTAGGCCTGGAGGGCTGGCTCAGCTGTTAAAGGCGAGGCTCACAACCAAAAAAAATATAAGACGGTGTCAGGAAACTTCACTAATCTCAAATACAAAATATAATACAACATTATAAAGCTTCAGGAGAAAAACACAGAGAACCCGATCTGGGAGGTGGTTTAAACCCCTCATTTGCAACGTGTGTGTCCAACAGCAGAACAATACCCAATGACACAAATAAGGCTCAAAACTCAACAGTGAGAATACAATAAGTATGTCAAGTTTCAATTGTTTTGTAGTTCTAGAATATGGCCATACACACAAGTGAGACAACTTGAGGATGGCACCCAAGTTTAAATTCAAAGCTGGGTCAGTGAGATGTTGCAGAGGTTAAGAGCACTTGCTGATCTTGCAATGAGACCCATGGTGTCAGTTCCCAGCGCCCTCAAGAGGTTCACAACCCTCTATAACTCCAGCTCTAGGGGATCCAAAGCCCTCTGCTGCCCTCCACGGGTACCTGCATGGATGTGTGTAAATACACATAAGTACAAATAAAATGAATTGTAAGCACAGAACTCACTGGTGTCCTGGCCGGCTCACACCGCCTGGAGGTCATTCATTCAGTGTCTTTGGTGCCCCTTTGTGCTGGGACTGCCTGAGGCCAGATACAGAATTTTCCATTTGAGACGCAGTATCAGGACTCAAAATCTTTCAGGCTTTGTATCTTTTTGGATGTTTGGTTTCACATGAGGGACGATCAGTGTATATCTCAACAGCTTCTGTTGCATACCATGGACAGAGCCATGTAATGACTATCATAACCAAGACACAAACTCCTTGCCCTTGAGCTAACCTCCTTTATGCTCATATCCTCGTAGCCTGGATATGAACTCCTTTCAAGCACTAGTCTATGGTTAAATTTCAAAAATGTTACTTTTTTGAGATTGACTTCTTGTACTCAACCCTTCTCATGTATTCGCACATATATGTGTACACATGAATATGCATTCATATATACATAGATGCATGTACCCCACACACAGTTGAAAAGAAGAGTTGCCAAACTGTTGGGTGGCGGGTTTTTGAGGATAGCAACAGGCCTTGACAGACCTGGGATCTGATCATCCTGCAGACAAGAGGTTTGCTATGGCCGTGCAGATAGGCGAGAGGAACTGAGGAAAAGCTTTTGAAGGTCCCTTATGAGGGAAGGGGCAGGGGTTGTTGTGCTATAGGAAGTGGGTCCAGAGTCAGGCAACCATCAGACTAGAATGAAAGACAGTATGTTTTGTGGTTCCTGACTGAGTCAGGTGTTTGGAGGGTTCCAGTGACATTTCTAGATAAGGGACATCTGGAGGAGGAATGATGGAATTAGACAGTGTGTGACTTACTCCACATGACTGTGGTCAGCCTGCTCTGGGCCTGGGGTGAAGTGTGTGTTGCTTTGCACGGCTTGTCATATTCTGGAGTTAAGGTCTGGAAGCCATGTTTTCAGAGAGGCATATTCCCTGCCTGTGCGACCTGACAGAGGGGCTGTGTCATTTCGCAGTATCACCATCAATCAATGAAAAATGCTGTGATCCCTGCCCTTGTCAGTGTGTGAAACCGCCATTGTAATAAACATGCCATGGTAGTCAATGTGCCATAGTGTTTTGTTTTGATCTTAATGTATCTGTCATTAGAACCTCTCTTATTTACCATACATCTACCTTCTTTTTGTTGCTGTTTTTGTTTTGCTTTTGGAGATAGGGCTTCTCTGTGTAGTTGTGGTTATTCTGGAACTCACTCTGTAGATCAGGCTGGCCTTGAACTCACAGAGATCTGCCTGCCTCTGCTTCTCAAGTGCTGAGATTAAAGGCATGCACCTTTAATCATCCAGCTACAGCTTCTTTAGTAAAATATCTCTGCATGTGTTTTGACCATTTTCTAGTTGCATTGTTGTTGTTCATACAGTTGAGTTTCTAAAATGCTATTATTTATTCAAGCCTTATATGTGATTTTTCAACTGTTCTCTCTGTCTGCAGTTGGTCATGTTGTCTTCCTAACCGGATCTCATACATGCAGACCTTTTCAAGGAAAGGGGAAAGTGATGTAATTCTATGTCAATTAAACATGTATTTTTTTAAAAAAAGCAAGCTGGGGGGGGGGGTGCAGACAAAACCTTTTCATTTTGAGGCAGTCCAACTTTAGGTTTTAAGGCAGTCATGTAAAATAGGTCATGTTCTTAGTGTAATATCTAAGGATGCTTAACCATCCCTGAGACCTCCAAGGGTTGGTTTCCTGTGCTTCCTTCCATTCTCACATTGGCATTTATCATTGATTTTTATTTTTGTATTTTATTGTCCTGGATTACATAGCACAACCATCATACAAGTACATAATGTACATTGAGGATGTTGCACCATCCTTTTCCTGCTTTCCCCCTTTCCCTTGTCTCCCTCCCATTAGTCCCCACCATCCTCTAAACAGCTCCATGTCTAACTTCATGTCATCTCCTTATATGTGATTTTATAAACTTATATAAAATCTAGATCCCACAGGAAAGAACATATGTAACTTTTGTCTGTACTGATTTAATTCCATTGTGCATGCAGACCACATTTTCTTTATCCAGTCCTCGGTTGAAGGACACAGTTTGGTCCCTAATTCAACTTTTGTGAAGAGTGTGTCAATAAACATTGATGTAGAGGTATCTCTGTGGTATGTTTACTTGGAATCTGTTGAGTCTGGTAGAATAAATGTAAATGGAGATGGTTTGTTCATTTCCTGGCTGCCCAGACCAGAATAATGCACAAAACTATATTAATTACAACACTGACCAATAGCTTACGCATATTTTTAACTAACTCTTACATCTTAAATTAACCCATAATTCTTGTCTGTGTTGTCCACGTGGCTTGGTATCTTTCATCAGTGAGGCTTTTTCATCTTGCCTCCTCTACATCTGGGTGGTGATTACAGACTGAGCCTTTCCTCTTCCCAGAATTCTTCTATTCTGGTTACCCCACCTATACTTTCTGCCTGGCTACTGGCCAATCAGTGTTTTATTAAACCAGTACAAGTGACAAGTCTTTACAGGGTACAAGACCATTGCCCCACAGTAGATAGAGCTATTTTGAGTTTCTGAATGAACCTCCATACTAATTTCTGTATTTTGAAAAAATTTTGTTAAGGTGTGAGATTTAGGAAGAAGTTTATTTCTCTGCCTGTAGGCAGTTAGTTGCTCCAGCACTGAAATGCTTGCAACATTAGCAACAGGTCTTGAATAGTGTGTATGGGGCGCCAGTCATATTTGGTTGCATTGATCTGTGTTCATTATGTCCCCAGTTCCACCGTGTCCTAATGAATGTTATTGAATAATGTTTAAAAAACTAGTAAATTAACTGATCATACTTTCTCTTTCTCAAAATAGTTTTATTCTAGTTTCTTTGCATTTCCATATAAAGTTTAGAAACTATTACTTACAAATGGCTTTGCTCAGGCTGTGATAGGAATGGAATTAAGCAGTGTGTGAACTGGGACATAACTGGAGTCTTTACCATATTGAATTTTCTAATTGACAAAACGGTGTCTCCGTTTATTCAGATCTTCTTTGCTATTTCAGTGTTTTATAGTTTTCAGTTTTGGTAAAGTTTAGTTTGATTTACTCATACACATTTCAAAATTTTGAAGTGGTTATAAATGGCATTATATCTTAAATTTTGGGCTATGCATATTAATTGTTGATGTATAGAAATGTAACAGACCTGGGCATTCAATTTGTATCCCATGTCATCTACAAAAAAAAATAGAGACAGATTCATTATTTCTTTTTCCTGCTTTACTTCAGTGGCTAGAAGGGTCAATACTGTGTTAAGCACAATGGTGGGAGCAAGAAGGTTTGCCCCTAGTCACAAAGAGACAATAACAGCCATGCTTGCTGTAGGATTTTGTAGATAACCTTCATCGTAGTTAAGGACCACCCTTCTTTTCCTAGTTCATTGAGAATTTTATTTTCAAACCTGAATGTGTTGTGTTTTGTTAGTTTTCCTCCTTCGATATGTTCTTGAGATTTCTCTTTGACCTATTAAAATGTATACCATCCTGAGTTTTTAAATACTGACCCTCCATTTGAGTTCTGAGTACATTCCATCTAGTTGTGACATACAAGTTTTTTTTTCTTACAAAAACAAAGTATTTAATTGGGGATGACTTATAATTTAGAGATTTAGTCCAGTATTGTCATGGCAGGGTGGCATGATGGCATGTGGGCAAACATGGTGCTGGAGAAGGAGCTGAGAAGTCTACAATTTGATCAAGTAGCAGAAGTAACTGTGTGTCACCCTGAGCATACTTTGAGCATAGGAGACCTTAAAGGCCACTCCTATAGTCACACGCCTCCTCCAATAAAGTCATAACTAC